GCAAGGTCATCCAACCGGTCAGTCCTAGAGGAGATCAAACCTGACTGCTCTTTAGAAGGCCAGATCCTGAAGAGGAAGGACTCCCTGGAGAAGAGCCTCATGCTGGGAACGATGGAGGGCAAAAGAAGAAGGGGAGGAGAAGGAGGTGGCTGGATGGAGTCACCGAAGCAGTCGGCATGAGCTTCAATGGACTCCAGAGGATGGGAGAGGACAGGAAGGCCTGGAGGAACATTATCCATGGGGTCACAATGCGTCAGACATGACTTCACAACTAACGACGACTATCACTAAGTGTACTTTATGATTCTTGATGAATGTATTCTATTTTTCTTTATGTACACTGAGAGCATCTGCACCAAAGACAAATTCCTTGTGTCCAATCACACTTGCCCAATAAAGAATTCTATTCTGTTCTATTCCATATTTATTCTATTCTATACTAATCGTAGTTAGGAAACTAGGGTCTTGGGGTGCAGGGAAGACTTCTCACCCCCTCCAAGAAAGGCCCAATATTTGCCCCCTTAAAACGTTCCAAGGAATACTAGGGCCAGTCTTCCTTTATCATGGAAAAAGAAAGAGGCAATATTTCCCACAAAAGGAGATTACATTGTTCCAAGGAGGACGCCTTTTAAAATATGTCCCTAAATATGTCCCTAATTTCAAGAATACTTTCTGTGTTGTGTGCATTTCCCTAAAATTATGCGGGTGTGGTTTTGGTTGGTTTAAATGCCAACCTAATTGGTCCCATTGACTTGAAATCATCATATAATCTTCCAGATGTTTGTCTCCCCTGCCCCGTTACACACCTATTTGAAACAACTCGTCCCTTTAAGGTAAAGATAAAAACATACCAAAAAAATAATAACAATGATTGTTGAAAATGTTAAGAGAAGCATCAGGCTAACCAATTTTTATTTTTTTAAAGAAGGCATTTATTTAATTGAATCTGGCCAAATTTCAAACATTTCTTTAAATGTACATTTCCTACGCTGAGCTCCACTGATCTCGGATTAGGATTGGCATACAATGGCTGTACCGAATTGGCGGCGAAGTATTCTTCCAATCTCCGTCTCTGGCTGAAAAGATTACTGGAACCAGGAAAACTTGTAACGAATTTTAATTAAATTAAATTTGGTACAAAACTCTTTTTCTGCAGTACTGACAGAATTCTCCCCCCGCCCCACACACCTCCCCTTTGAAAAGAACCCGTTCCCGCCCCACTCCCCAAATTATAAGCAATATACATCAGTCCAATATACATCAGCCACCACATAATCTCGGACCAGGCCCACCCCGATAGATAGACGTGGTGATTGTTAATTCCATCATCCGGATAAGTAAGTAAGGAAAAAAGAAAGAAAGAAAGAAAGAAAGAAACAACACCTCAATTCTATAAAAACGTTATGTCGATGCGTGAAAAGAGAACAAGCAGAAAATAAGAAGGCCGGCAAATTCGGAGCAACGGTGCGTTTCTGGAGAAGAGGCTCCTGTGCCTTGAAGAGAAGGGCAACGAGGAATAGCTGAAGAGAAAGGTTATGGAACTGCACTCATAACTTGAGAATAGGCCCGCCGGTTCAGTAGGGAAATAGCCTCTGGAAATAGCAACCAAAAATAGGAAGTGGCGTTTTTCCGTTCCATTCGCTCGGTCAAGGAAAAAAGTGATTTCCCATCCGAGGTTGGCCCAGGCTGCAGAGTACGGTACTGTAGAAACCTTCTCCCCCCCACTTCTCTCAAAAGTTGAAACGCTGAGATCAGAAAGCTTGTTCCTACCCTAGCGCTAGAAAAAAAGGAGCGTCTTTGGAAGTATCAGCAGAGAGGGGACGGCGTTAGGCTTAGCCAAATCCCCAACTACCAGCTCCTGGATTTGAAAACAAAGACCATCTGGAACAGGGCTATATCCTTGTTTCCCTAACTTAAATCTCAAGGAACAAATCGGTGGAACCACCATAAAGATATTGGGGTGTTTTTTTACAGAAGACATCTAAGCATAACTTAACCCCACCCATTCCTAGTTTGTGTGGATAGTACCACGTTCATTTCTTCCTCGGCATTTCTTTTTTTGGGGTGGGGTGGGGGAGCTCTGCTAGGATTGGGGTACACCATAACTGTTTAGTAAACTCACTGGTTGAGTTAGAGAATCTTCTCCACAGGTCTGCACGTTATTATCAAAACGCCCTGTACCATTTCAAAGACAAAATGTCAGCAATTTGCTGCAAATAAAATAAAATAACTCACAGAGAAACTTAAAGAGGGGGTGGGGGGAGACCCAGACTTAAGACAAGCAAGGGTACTGTTTTTCCAACTAACGCCTGTTGTTTTGGTTCAAATCATTTTGGCTTCTGAGAAACAAAATCGTCCAATTTCCGAAAAATAACTCATGGCGGGTTTATCGCCTCATATCAAAACAAAACAACAACAAAACAAAAAAACCCCAAAGAAACCCAGAATTAAGCTAAGAAGACATTAAACTTAAAAAGTTTTATAGTTCAGGATGCAAGGGGGGGAGGGAGGGGGGGGGAAATAAAGGAAACTAATGTGATTTTTGCAACGAAGTTGTTTGGTAAAAGAGTCTGGGGATCACCAGAATGGGGTCTGGGAGCCATAGTTTTGATTAAACCACTCTCCGGACTTCGAAAAACCTCTTCAGGTAGTAGATCTGTCCCAGTGTCATTGCAACTAGTACGAGGGCTTCGAAGAACGACCAGAGGACCACTCTGCTATTTGTGTTGTCGTTAACTGAAAAGAAACCAAGAAGAAAAGTCAAAAAATTAGCATGGGAAAAACTACGGATCCAGAACGGAGTAACTTCAAGAATTCCTCTTATCTAAGCTGCACATACTTAGCTCATCGATGGAGTCTCTACTCCATGTCTAGGAATCTTCCGGGGGGGGGGGGGGGGGGGG